AAATTATGAAATAGCGTAATGTGTATTTGTATGAATTGACGCTCGAGAAGGAGTTGGTTATTTTGTTTTTGTTATTTGAAAATTATTATTGTTTGAATTAATTTTTTGGTAAAAAGGGGCATATATATATATATATATATATATATATATAACAACAGAATAACAGTTTTAAGCTTTGATAAAAAAAAGATACATTTATTTTTTTCTACATATTTTTAAAACAAAACATCTTGACATCTGCTTGTGAGTGGAGCCCCCTAGTGGTCGGCCACAGTTTGAATGTTTGGGGGTGCGCGCCCACAGACGTCTTTGTATACTTCGGTGTGCACCTGTCGCCTTGCCAAATTGGGCAGGAGTGATAAACAGGAAACGGGGCGTGGAAGGGACAAACTACCTGCTACCACTCGTCTTTTGCTTTATTGTGCGGAGCTGGGAGACAATCAACTAGTTTCACTCAGAAAGAAAGTCAAGCCCAAATATGCAACTTCATGTTCAAAACAAACCCAAAAAACCACAACCATGACTCACAAGATTTAGAGTCAGAGAGATTTATTTGTCATACACACCTGAGATTGTGTACTCAGGGTCCCAGTTACATTCAACACTAAAATCCATCCATTATCTTTTACCAGCTTCTTCCATTTTGGGTCACGGGGGTCGCCGGTGCCCATGTCCAGCAATCACTGTGCGAGGGGCCAACAATAAAATGTAAAAGAAAAACAATGATAACATCTGAGATATGAACTAAAAAAAACATCAGCTAAAAGTACACTAAGCACACAGTTAGAGATTCATGAGTCTAACAGCCTCAGGGTAGAAGCTGTTCCTCAGTCTAGTGATTCTACACTTAATGCTCCTCAACCTCCTTCCTGAGGGGAGCAGAGCAAAAACTGTGTGCTGGGTGAGTGGGGTCCTTCATGATGCAGGTAGCCCTCTTCCTGCATCTGGAGGTGTAGATGTATGTGATGGTGGGGAGACTGACTCCAACATCTTCTGTGCAGCCTTCACCACTCTCTGCAAAGCTTTTCTTTCTGCAG